TGCTGACCAGGCTCTGGGAATGAGCCAGGAGGGCCGGAACACGCCACCGGTAACACACACCAGAGGCGTCTTCCCCAAAGATGGCCCGCCCTCCAGCTCCCGCCATATCTTCCCCTACCCGTCACCACCTCCATAGAGTAGCCCGCCGCATATGATGGACACAAGCAAGAGAAAGCAACTTGTGTCTTTGGGCTCTTTCTAGATGCACCTGGTTGGCTTTGCTGGAAAAAGATGGACCACGGTTTGATATTGCAGGGTCCTTATTTCCAAGTTATTTATTGGACTTTTCCATGTGAATTCAAATGTGCTTTGTGAATAGTTCTATATTAGTATATCCGGTAACTACTAAAGTCAAGGTGGATGAGATACAGTTCCCAAGAAAGTAAAACTGGGTGTGAACTGCCCAGATTGGTTTGAACATTTGCACTGTACTAATTAACACAGAGACTTACCTTGTGCCTTGTTGTACATAGTAGTGGAATGAAATCCAGTCTCTGTGCATATTCCTTTGTTGGAAACAATGGCTGATTCTTTCATCAATTCTGAGACAAAATCCCTTGTAATTTGGAAATTAATTTTGGTTCCAAGTGAGCTTTCCAAACTTAAATAATTTCTATCCAGTTGTAAAGCATCAGGATCTATCACGGGTGTTCTAATTAAATTTTGGATAGAGTCATACTGATTCATAGGAAAATATAAATTGTAGGTATTAGCAAGTTCTAGAGGCTGAGTAAACAATGAAGATTCATAAGAATGCAACTCCAATATCTGATTTTTTCTATATATCTCTTCTTGACTAAGGAATCTGCTGCTTAAGTTAAAAGCACTGGATGCTGTAATATAAATTAAATGTGATCCTTTTTTCCATAGAGAAGTGTCCATTTCAGTTTTAGAACATACTAAGAAACTATTTCCTGCAGTAACAAGTCTGTACGATAATGGAATACTTGTAAAAGATTCATGGGTCTTCATTCTGTCTGAGCTAACCTGTTTCCTGTCAGGCAATTTTTCCATTGGCAGTATATTACTAAATCCAAATAATAATGTCAGTTCCACTGGAATTGATAATGTCAGAGAAGGAAACAGTTTGGGGATGCTGATTGTTTTAGACAGTAATCCAAATGTTAATAGAGATATGCTGGATAACTGAGTGTCATGTTTTGATGAAATTGGAGCATTACCACTGTAATACAATTGAGTTGGTGGACATGCATTGGATGGAAAACCCGGTTTGGGGTAAAAATCACCGTTTGTAAGACTAGCATCAAATTCTGATGTAATATTGGTCAAGATGGAGCTTTTGTTCCATTTAGGAACTTCTATCTGTCTTATCAGTGGTAATGTCATAACAGTCTCTGAGGCATAACTGTAGACGTTAAATAGTTTTTGATTCTGATCGCTGTCATGGAACAAGAGCAAAGATACTGCAACACTGGAAAATGGCAGTTCAGATGATGATGCCCTTAAATGTGTTAATGTTGACATGGGTGTCAGAGAAAGCTTAATTATAGAAATGATGTCTCCAGATATAAATCTAGATGCTGTTAGATGTTTGAATGGGCTATGATAATTTAAATTTCTTATTTCTCCTGAGAAGTGTTCTGGAGATGATGGTTTAGAAGAAATTTCTTCTGGCGGAATGTCCATTTTATGGTGAACAGGATTTGAGAAATGATTTTTGGTAGTAGGCATAAACAAACCCAAATAATAGAATGTAGAATTATCCTTTGGCTCAGATTTTTGAGGTGTGGGGAAATCATCTTGTGATACTTTATACAGTATATGCTCTGATATTGGTGGAGTTCCAAAAGTCTCCTTATTCTCAAATTCGGTTGAGCTTAATATCAGGGAAGGTGAAAGTTCAGAAGAGAGATATTGAAAAATAGTAAATATTGGTGAATTAGCCTGAATAGTCTCTAAATCCATTTTGATCGTTACAAGCTGTGTAATGATATCCATGTGAGGAGGGATAACTGAGGAAATGGCTTCACTGAAAAGCGATGAACTTGCTTCAGACTTTATAACAGAGCGTGTCTGTGGCAGAGCAGCTGTCAAAACTGTGAAGGTCTGTGTTTTGGTTGGTCTCCATGTAAGTTTTGGGGTGGCCATTTTCCTTTTTTGCCACTTTTTTGAGTATCTTTTTTCATAACCCTGTTTAAGAACTCTCCACCCAGCAATTTCATATCCCAATAGCTGTGAGAGATTGTTTGACTCAACATTGTGCCTTAGAACTTGTACTAATTCAGATAGCAGAGCAAACACTCCAAACCCAACTGGCCAATAGAGTCCTACATAATGGCTTTTTGTAGAGTTGATGTATCTAATATCTTCAGCCAATATGGTCAGATTCTGAAAATATTTATTAAATGAGTCTTTGACTGGAATAAGAGTGAGTGAGGAAGGATCCAAATGGAGATATTCTGCCATGGTGCAAATCAGATTTAGTTGCTCTCTAATTTCTAGAGTCCTCTTTGTATAAAGTATGATCTCAGCGAAGGTGATGGAAATGTGTTTGGCATACCAACTTCCAGAACAAATACTGAAAGCCCCAAAATACATGCTGTTAAAAGACTGACATCTTTTCAAAGATTGCATTATAGTTTAACATTATCTAGAGTTACTCAACAGTATCTATTGATTCCAAGTATTTATGTTTATGATTGCAATCATAAATTTAGGGCACATTTCTCACAAGCATATTAATGAAAAGATTAGCATCTAAGATATAATTTTAAAAGTGCCTCTTAATTACTTAAAAAACTGGTGGGTGTGGGCTTGGTTGAAAATTGTACTAAAAACATTTCTTTTAAAATGGACAGTACATAACTATTGTAGAATATTTACAGGTTATTTGATAATTTATGATTCACCACTTTTATCCTCTGCTTATTCAAAGCTTGCTGGCCTCCTTTTTTTAAATATTGGCTCTAGTCTACCTAGAAATCTATATCTTGTAGATTTGCACACTATTGGTGGGAAACTGACTACACAGGATCCAAAGTTCCCATAAAACATATGAATCTAAATGCCTAGTTTTGTCCCTATATAGAAGAACAACTTTTCAAAGTTTTTCTGAAGAGAAGAAATTTTCAGAGGCTAAGATCCAGAAAGTACATCTAAAAATGAGGTATTTTTTTGCCATTAATGGATCAGGCTTGGATCTACTTTCCTGCTCTTTTGTCCAGAATAACTTAAAGGTCCTATTCATTTCTATTTCACCCTGTCCTTATTCAGAAAAAAAAAAAAATGAGTGGCAATGTAAGAGCTTCAGTCAGCAGTAGGAGTCATCTGAGACTGAATAGAACTCAATTCCATAAATGGGTCTCTACTTGTGAAATGGGTGGGCCAAACCCTGATTGTCTTTTAACATTTTAAGTAAATGTTGTATGTATTTGAAAATAAACCCATATGAAACTGATCAAATTCAATTGTTCCTGAAAGTCAATGCAACTTACATGTTTTTTTCATGGATGCAAATTCTATCTTGAAGTGCAAAATCTGCATTAGTGGTTGGAGTTTTACACGCCATGCCATATGCAACAATAGCTAGATGGAATTCTTCACTCTTCTCCATCAAAGGCTTCCCTTGGAGTATATTTGTGGAAATGTTGTATTCCAACCATTTTGACAAAGTTGAATCATTAGCCAGAGTGATCTAAATAATAATAATAATAATAATAATAATAATAATAATAATAATAATAATAATAATAATATCACATGCATCATATAAGGTATAATAAG